TCAGCGTGGCCAGGGGACCCCAGCTTGTCTGCCTTGGGGAGAGTGACATACACTCTTTTCCCCTGTCCCTCCTCAACGTGTCCTCCCGTCTTCCTACTCAGCCCATAGCAATTAGCCCGAGTAACATGCCAGTCGTTTCGCTGTTCTCACTGCACACCGCGTTACCCTCAGGACGAGCAAGACACCTGAGGGGTTTAGCCCTTGGCCCCTGGTATCCTACCCCTCTGCAGTAAAGGCTCGTGACATGTGCCACCTCGATGACGTCCCATGAAGAGACCCTCGTGGCCACCCCAGCCCCTGCCGTACGCACTGTTCTGCCTTCCCCTACTTCGTCCCCTTCCATCTTCCGAGTACCACAAACTAACAAAAGAGGAACGGTTTCCAGCCCCGTGGAGTTGTGCCATGTGATTGTGGGGTAAAAAAACCCGCGTAAAAGTTTTAAACTCCCTAAAGTAATCACGTTGCTTTTTTCTCCCCAGATACCTGTTGTATGATGTCAATCCTCCTGAAGGGTTCAACCTTCGCAGAGATGTCTACATTCGCATTGCTTCCCTTCTAAAAACCTTGCTGAAAAGTGAAAACTGGGTGTTAGTTCTGCCTCCCTGGGGACGCCTTTATCACTGGCAAAGCCCTGACATCCTTCAGGTCCGCATCCCTTGGTCTGAGTTCTTTGATCTCCCAAGCCTCAACAGGAACATCCCAGTCATTGAATATGAGCAGTTCCTTGCAGGTAGAGTATGGAATCATACTATCTACAATTGACTACATATTTGGGGTGGTTTCTTCACAGGTTTATCCTTACGTGTGCTTTTATCCTTACATGTGAAATAAAAAAAAGTTAAAGGTGGCAAGAGGAGGGATGAGGAAGAATCGTGCTGAGTATTATTTGGCAGCTCATTTGATATAGCACTGCTGGCCCCTTGACTTTCCAGAGACCCCACAGAAAGACAGTTCATGCCTCTGGTTAAAGTCAAAGATACTTCTGCATAATTTTGGCCATAGTAACAACCCTGTAAGGAGAGAGATAGGCAGCCTGCAGCTTTCTGTTGAAATACAGACCCCTTTTTATGGAGGTGGTTGGACAGTAACAGTAAAAGCTGTACAGCGAGTTCTTCGGTGAACTTTTTCATCATCAGTGCTGCACATACTCAAAGTACTTATTCCCTGCTTTTTGTATACAAAATGGTATGTAAGAGAAAGACTTTCCCTAAGAATATGGAAACCGTGCAGTTGGTTCCTTTAGGATTTAGTGCCATGTTGAGCTAATCACCAAATGCCAAAGTCTGCAGCAGTGTCTCAGACTTTTTCAGCAAAGGAAATAAAGGCCACCAAATGTCACACCTCTGCAAAGAGCTCTGAAGGAATTGTTGTCTCCTGCCTTTCAGGAAAAAGCATTTAGAAACCCTGGAGTTTAGGGGACTTAAGTCGCTTTCCTGGAGGCAACTTTCCTGCAGTATTGAAAACCTTTGCGCTTCATGGTGCGTTTTACCCAGCTTTTAAATTTACATTTCTGTGGTGGTTCAGTTCTGTTTGGCACGATAAATCACACATAGCTGGGTGGGAGTAGCGGGTTGTCACATCCCCTGACCCTTTTAAATTTTCTGGCTCACACAGAACTGCCTTTCCTTTTTCATAGGGAAAACAGGAAAGAGAGAGAGCAGTGTAACATTCGCATTTCTAGCACATTTTTAACTGCAAGTAATGCTAGTTTGTACCTTTATCGTGTGTTTTTTTCATGCCCACAAATGCTTTGCTTTGCCTTCTGCTCAGAGTCAGGTGGGCCCTTTATTGAGCAGATTTATGTCCTACAAGGCTATGCAGAAGGATGGAAAGAAGGAACATGGGAAGAAAAAATAGATGAAAGGCCATGCATTGATCAGCTTATGTACTCCAAAGACAAACATGAGTACTACAGGTAACATCTAGCAGTCCTTTCAGTCTTCGTTTTAGTTGTATTCAGTGAGACATTTATCTACTTTATCAGAACAGACTTGTGCAGTTGTTGTAGTATTATCTGTGAATCTCTGGATGCTTGGGGTTCACTTTATTTTTAAAACCCCATCAATAATAAAATGTTATATTGGTACTAGAAGATCTAATTTTAGAAAGTTGTTGTTTCACACAAAAACAGTATAAAGGAGCTGGCTAGTTTATTTACATTATATATCATCTTTCTAGGGTGTATTGTTTATTCGTTTAGTTATATATATGCCATTAATTTAAAATACAAACCTGTGAACCAATACTTTGTGTTCCCTTTCAGGGGATGGTTCTGGGGTTATGAGGAAACACGGGGCCTAAATGTCTCTTGCTTGTCTGTCCAAGGGTCTGCCTCTATTGCAGCTCCCATCCTTTTGAAGAACACTTCAGCACAGTAAGTTGCCTTGTATTACTGTTTATTGTTGCATTGTGTGCTCACAAACCTGTTGCCAGATGGGAAGAGCAGGAGGAACTTACAGGCTATGTCCCACTGTTGTGGTACTTCATCACTGAGTTACTGTAAATAATTTACAAAAGGAATTTAGGCTGTAAGAAACACCTAACTAATGTAAATTAGGTTAAATGCTGCAGTGCTGAAACCTAAAAGGAAATAGCCTTGAGCTCCTTCATACTCTTTGTCAGGTAGCTAAATGCCCTTGCCACTCTGTGTTTACCTTTCCTTCCTTTACACTTTGATGCTGGGTCAAGAGGGAAGAGAGTGGAATCAGTCTTTCCCAAGCCCACATCTCAGATGAGGAGGTGCAGTGCCTGGTCTCCTGTGAGATGTCCACCCTCAGTAGTGTGAGCTGGTTTTAGGGAAAGCAAGTAGCGTGTTCCGTCTTTCCGCTCCGAGACGCCACTAGGACGATCAGAGGAAAGAAAATCTCTTATATGAGAGATGGAGCATGCTTACGTTATCCCGGTAGCAAAGTATTTCTAGTGAGCTGTAACCCTGAAGACATCATAGCAAAGCAAAAGGTACTGGGATACACGGGAGAACAGGAAGAGGAAATAATCACTGTCTATAAATTCATCAGGGGAATAAATCCATAGGAGAAAAAAACAACTGTGTAAGATGAAGTGCAGTTTTGCCATGAGAGCAAAAACATCCAAAAATTTGGTATAAATACAATTTAATTGGAAATGAGATGAAGGTTCCCCTAAGCAAAGCAGTGGGGATCTGTAGTACCTCCCACTGGGAGCAGAGGAAGCGAAATCCTGTTTTTAGGAATGTTACTCTATTTGTAGGAGTTACACCATAATCTTTGCCAGTGACAGCAGAAAACTGGATTAAATAAGCTATAGAGGTCTCCATGTTTAGCCCTAAGGTTAACTCTTTTGTGGCAACTGTCAAAGGTCTGGCGATGAGGAAGGTCAAGAGAAAAATTGGAAGCGGTGCCCAAGTATTCCTAACACACAGACAAGGTGCCTTATGCACAAGATGACATTTCTCAATCAGACCCGAGTAGGAAGAAGTATCAACATAACAGCAATGGGAGGGCTGCTGCAGTGGTTCGTGTTACAGTCGGTCTCGTTTAGTGGGGGAAATCCAAGAGCGACTAAAATCAGGTGTCTTGGGAAGAGTATAAGAACTGGGCAAGTGTGTGTGATGCCTCCCCTGAGTCCTGTCACACCCTTCAGATGTGTTGTTGTAGGGACCTTCTGAGCCAAAAGTTATTTTCTTAGCTTTTACATCCTTCAGTGAGTCCTTGGATCTGGGCAAGCCTCCCTTTGAACCCCTGTGCACACTGTTAGTATTCACAAAATCCTGGGACAAGACGTAAAGATTTTACACCTTAGCTGTGCATCCTATGAAAATCCACCTCCATTTGCAACTCCATTCTGCAAGTTTCATCGTATGTCCTCTAATTCATGTAGTGGAAGAGCTAGTGAACAAACAGCTCTTACATACTCACCTCCACGCCATGCATGATTTTATATCTCTCTATCGTATTCTCCTTCGGTTGTCTCCTCTGCAGTGTGAGGAGTCCTGGCTTCATTAGTAATTCCTTGTGTGAAAGCCGTTGGTGATCCTTGCTGCTGTTCTCCAAACCTTTACAGTTCAACTGATCCTGTACACTGAGTGCCAGTAAAGCCATTACATAGTGACATGCTCTGTTTAGCTCTTTCTTATTTTTCTGGTAATTCTGAATATACGAGTTCTATTTTTTTGACCTCTGATCAGTGTTGCCTTGACGTTTTCGTCAAACTGTCCTCATTCATAGAATCATAGAATGGTTTGGGTTGGAAGAGACCTCAAAGATCATCTAGTTCCAACCCCCCTGCCATGGGCAGGGACACCCTCCACTACACCAGGTTGCTCAAAGCCTCATCCAGCCTGGCCTTGAACACTTCCAGGGATGGGGTAGCCACAACTTCTCTGGACAACCATTCCTGAGCATCAGTGGTTAGTATAGACCCCTTTAGTTATCAGTTGAAACCAGCAAGTTTCTTTTTTTAATAGATGCACTCCTACATTAGATTTCATCTGCCACTTTATTGGTCAGTCATCAGACTTCTCTAATTCTTCACAATTGGCCTTTGTCTTTGCTGCTCAGAGCAATTTAAAATGATCAACAAGCTGTGTGACCCCAAAGTTCACGCCCTTTTGTGGGTTGTTAAGTAATATGGTGAAAAGCAGATCCCTTCCCCTTGTGACCTCCCTCTGCCATGAGAACTGGGGATTTATCCCTGTTAGTGAAAAATTTCAATTTAGAAAATTTGTGCTTAGTTGTTAACACAGGTTTTTCTAGTGCCTGTATGTTCTTTGATCTTTTGTTTTACTGTAGGACATTTTATTCCGCATACGGAAAACACCTTTGGTTTTGTTTTTGTGAGCATGACCCCTGCTTCCTCTAGGAGGTTCTCACATGCTCTGAGGCTGAGCATCATCTCATAGGTTACTTCTCCTGTTTCAATCACTCTCCCTGTTGGCAATCTCATTTCTCCAGCAGCAACTCCTGTGAGGACTATGTGAGGGATTGTTAGTGCTTGTTGGTGTTTAACTGTCACAATTAAGAGTACCATTTATTAAGGAAGAGAGCAGGAACACACAGTGGTGTCATTCCCTTCTCTTCCAGCAAGTCACAGTTTGCTTTATACAGAGTAGATCAGCAGCCTGTCCCTCATTCCCCACGCTCTCTTTGCAAACAGATCATAGTCTGTGCTTTATCCTGGAAACTGTATAAAGAAATGTACTAAGAAAAATTCTATTCCTAAGGGAACTCACTCAGTTTTACAATTTTTAATAGGTCAGTGATGTTAGACAGAGCTGAAAACCTTCTTCATGACCACTATGGAGGGAAGGATTATTGGAATGTGAGTATTTTCCTGTTAGCTTGTTTAGACTTTCTACTTGTTTCTGATAAAAATTCAGTAACCAATATGTGCTTCACTTTTGCCTTGGGTTTCTTTTCTTGAAAGTAACCTGTGTCTTATGTTTCAGCAGTGGATGCTAAAGGTGGTCTTCAGGCTGCTGTGGATTAGTATAATGCAGGAATTTGTCTTGGTGTCTTGATTAGACTTTGCAAAAGAATTACCAAAAGTGCTTAGTACTGTCCTAATGTCTCCCCACGGGCTTCAATGGCAAAATTCCCACAGGTTTCAAGGTAACACTGAGCACTTTGGGAGACCCCACCCAAGGGTCTATGGTAAAATAATTCCTATGGGACAAGTTTTAAGACAAAGTTAAAGCTTCAGCCAGGGGAAAATGGAACACGATATGAAGTGCTTGATATAATTAAAATTTCTAAGAGAAAGTGACTCACACGATATTAAAAAACAAGTTACCTAGACCTCGGTCTTGCAAGTTATAAACATCTGGCTATTCACTTGGTATGTGGCATATTTTTCAGAAATAAACAGACAGTAGTTTGCTAACTATGAATTTTTCATTGGGAGTGACTTTCCAAACAGAGAAATGCAACCCACGTATCATTTCTGAGTCTGACTTGTAGTCCTGTAAAAGCAGACGTAAAATGCATATGGATCCATAACACACATTTCTTAACGGTGGCACTTTAAACATTGCCTCAGCAATTTAAATTTGTCTCAAAATTATTTAAAACTTTCTGGAAAACATTCTTTCTTTTATTGCATGATTTTTGGTTGATTTTTTCTTAATAACTCTCTGGATAACATCTGGAGTTCTTTATAAGTCATCCTAACAGATGCCCTCTTGTCTCAAAGTAGTTTTTAATTTGTAACAAGCCAGCTTCCCTTTGCAACCAACCTATGTCTTTGGTGTCCAAAAATATTTGAATTTAATACTGAGCCACGTTGCTGTCATTGTTGTCACCGTTTTTGTCTAAGCTTCTCTACCACTGCAAGCTGAAAGGTATTGTTTTGGGATTCTTAATGGTTGAATGATCACAGAGTGGAAAAGACCTCCCAAAATGGTTTAGGAGCAACTGTTGGATCCCTTGAAGAGCATTAGTGTAGCATGTAGACCACATGAGAGCTTTACCATCTATATGGAAGCAGGAAGTTCTCTAAGGACAACTTTAGAAAAGCCAGCAGTTTTGCATTTGGTTTCACCATTCTGGGGGGATAATCTCAAAGAATTAGAGTATCTGTATGGTTAATTCAATTCATGTACACAAAAGGGAACATAACCAAGACTGATTTTATTTATTTGTTTTGCCAGACTTAGAATCACAGAAAAATTCAGGTGGGGAGGTATCTTGGCAGCCCTACCTCGAGGTTTGCACTCCAGAACTTGATCTGGTGGTTTGGGGCTGTGTCCAGCTGAATGTGGAAAGTCCCCATGGATGGAGATCCGTCACCTCTCGGGTCTGTCCCATTGCTCTGCCACTCTTGTGGGCAAGACATTTTTCTTGCCCACAAGAATAATTCCTTTTTTGTCACTTTTCCACTGAATTTGACAGGAGTGTGTGTGGCTAGATGCATGATTTTTTTAAGCAGGTTTTATTTTTACGGGTGTTTTGGAAGCTAAAATCTTTGCCCAGCTTATGTTTCCAAGGCTGAAGTATGTTGCTAGAGTGTTTAATTTGGTATATTACATGTTCTGTTGTGTAAGTAACTACAGTCTACTCATGTGCCTGTGTACTGCGGGGTCAGACGAGTATACTGGTTGTAAGTGGTTATGATTAGGATTAAACAGTTAAAGCTCAGATGAAAGGTTAGAAGTCGTTTCTTGTGGTTCTGTGTGGATGTATCAGAAGTAACTGCATCCTGGAAGCTCCTTGTATTTGAAACTATCTCCATTTAGTCATTTTTAGCTCTCCCTTTTTCTGACTCAGCATCTGTTCTTATTCCAACAGACCCGTCGAAGTATGGTGTTTGCTAAACACCTCCGTGTAGTGGGAGATGAGTTTAGAAAGAAATACCTTCAATCCACGGATGAGGCAGACAGGACTCTTTACAAGGAGGACTGGACACAGATGAAGGTAAAATCATAACAGTCTATTTCCTGTAACGAGTGTAAATTTTGGAAGATACATGTGAATCTAGCTCTCCCTGCTCAGATCAATGTGGATGTGCATGTTCCTACTGTACGTCTTCTCCCTGTGTGACGTGACATGAGTTAACGGAGTCTGTTGAGATGTGGCTGACAGGTTCTAGGTGCCAGATTTCTGTTACCCTCATTTCACTAAAGTTAACTTGTTTTTCTACTTGTATTAAGCAGCATCTGTGGGTGTAAAGTTCAGCTGCAAACTGCCAGTTGTGGATTTGGTCACGGAGAGCAATTTTTGCTTAGAAAGATTTCGTGCTCTAGTTTCCCTCGTATGATGCAGGCCACCCAAGATCAAAACGCTGCAATTAGGGCACCAGAATAATGCAAATCCATACCTTAAAATTACCTTCTGCAGCTCGAGTAATTCAGTGCCTCACCCAGAGATTGTGCATTCACGCCTTTTCAGTGCGAATGAACAGTGGTGCTCTCAAGCTTTAAAGTTTATTGATCTTTCTCTCTTAGGTTAAGATGGGCACAGCTCTAGGTGGTCCATACCTTGGGGTTCATCTCAGAAGGAAAGACTTCGTTTGGGGTCACAGAGAAGACGTACCTTCCCTGCAAGGAGCAGTAAAGAAAATCCGCAGCCTCTTGGAGATGCATAAACTTGAAAAAGTTTTTGTAGCCACTGATGCTGTCGAGGAGGGTAGGCAGATTATAGTCAGTTTAGGATTGATAACTTTTGACAATGAGTGCAGCAATTACCACTTTGTTTTTATAAATGACTGGAAGTTCATATGCCTCTGTCATTGAACAGGGAATTGAACAGGAGCGGGCAGCTGTTTCCTCTCAGGTTCAGTAGCTGATATCAAACCATTCATTTGGTATTTCCTGTAGGAGGTTTGACTGTCTCTACAGTGGGAAATTGGGAATTGAATTTGCCTGTTCCTCTTCCTCTTTCTTCCATCCCACCTTTTTTCTTAGCATTGCAGAGACTCTTGGACATGCTGGTGGGAAGGGTCCTCTGAAGTCTCCCACCCAGCCTTCCCCTTGGCTGCCTCCAACACCAGACTGGGGTGGACCTGGCTGTGTGTGGCCAAGGCATAAAAACCCCAAGGGTGAGGTTCCCCCTCCAGGGCTGCACCTCACTCCTGGTACTATCTAGGGATCTGTTTCACTGTATGATGTTAGAATAACCCTGCAGAGCATGGCATCATCTAAGTTTGCTGTCAAGAAAGGCCTATTGGTACACCTACCCTGTAGGTTTATAGAGCAACATTAATGGTAGTAATGTCCATTCTACCTCCTACAGGCTTCCCCACCCCCTTGGCACCACGTCTCTGCCTCACTGGCTCCTGCCCCTGCCTACTATACTTTCGTATTTGGCAAATGTGTTGCAAGATTTGTAGGTAGATTTTGGTTTCGCATGCTTCATAAATATTCACACAGGATTTCCTTAAACACTTACATTTTATGACAGCAACAAGTTGCTCTTTATGATGTAAAAATAAATGTGTATCTTTCCCTTTTTCAGAGGTTGAATTGCTCAAGAAACTGCTGCCTGAGATGGTGAGGTTTGAACCCTCTTGGGAGGAGCTGGAACTCTACAAAGATGGGGGCTTGGCCGTGATTGACCAGTGGATCTGCGCACATGCAAGGTAGCGAATTTGACTTTTCTTTGAGGAGCCAAATCTTAATGTCACAAAACTGAATATTGTTTTTGACCCGGATATAGTTGTTTACAAATCATATAGAATATGATATTGCGTAATTTTATGTATATATTAAATAGATGTATGATAGTTACATTGAGTATAAATATATATATAATTTCATTATAATATAATTTCAATGAACATTAAAGTTCATTGGACCGAAATCAATTACTCGCATTTTAAAAACTGGTCCCCTTCACAAACCCATTCTGATTTTTTTTCGCAGGTATTTTATAGGCACCTCAGTTTCAACATTCTCCTTCCGGATCCATGAGGAAAGGGAGATCTTGGGATTTGATCCAAAAACAACTTACAACCGATTTTGTGGTGAAAAAGAGAAAAACTGTGAGCAGCCAACTCACTGGAAAATTGTGTACTAAAATACTGAAATCCAAGGACTTCAGTCCTGGTGAGCTCAAAAGAATAAGGAAAACCTGTGGGGAAACATCTCCCTTTGACCAAACTACAGCTCAGTTCTCTACTCCCTTCTCGGTGTTTACTTGGCATTCGAGTTTTGAAGTACAAGCAATATTCACCTTCTTAGCCAGGCACTGATGGGAGCGAGGAAAATGAAGTCAACCTGGAATCCAGTTCTCAGCAGAGCTAGGATTAGAGGACAATACTAGACACTGCAATTGAGACTTGAAAGGCAAAACTTTGTCCTGATACTGAGTAACAAATGAAGTAAGTCACGACTTTCTTTGAAGTTCTGAGGGAGAAGAGGAACGATTTAACTTTTATAAATGTAACACAGCTGTGGCCTGTACTGAATTTTGTCTTTATTTTTTGTTCTGGTCAGTGTTTGCCTCTCTGATCACAAAAAGTAATCTCAGTTTTGTAACCTGCACTACATGAGATGCGGATTGTGTATAAACTGCCATTCCTTGGGGAAATCTTCTCTTTTCAAGTAGTAATTTGTGAACTGATGCAATTGTCTGATGCATCAGTGCTTGATAAGAAGAGGTGGTGTTTCTACCTGAACACGAGCTGCTTCTAATAGCAGTCTCAGAGGGTCTGTGCTGAGAGAGGCACAAAGATGGGTAGGGTGGTAAAAGAAAGGTTATGTTTCTTCTTATGTTTTACCTTCACAAAGACAACTTTTTTTTTCATCCTCCCAAAGGCCTCTTCAGTTGGACTGATGCAGAAGTCAGTCCCCTTTTGGCATCAGCCAGTCACTCAGTTCAGTGATGGTGATGCTTTGCATGCTAAAAGGCCTTTCAAGTTTCCACATAAGTTAAATGGATCATCCCGGTAATTCAACAAGTTATTCCTCATTTCTGCTTTCAGTTTATGCAAGGGAGCAAACTGATGACAATCACAGACAGGAAAGGTCGTTGGGCCCCAAGATAACGTGTATAAGGCTAGCAGCAGTCAGGGACCTTGCAGGTGAGGGTATGCTCTGATGGAGACGGCTGGCTGGTGGTACAGGGGAAGATCCTTATGCTACACCACCAGCCAGAGGGAAAGCTTAGCTCCCGTTTGAGAAGGGTTTTGTTTGACTACCAATTCTAGCTGTTACGGTCTCCTGCTATGTAGAATTGGCTGCTGGGAAGTATTCTGCTCTGTTCTGTGCTTTAGGTGGGTCTTTTGCCCTGCAGATCTACATGACTGTTAAGTAGGTGAAACCTTTTTCAGAAGCGGACTAGGAGACAGATTTCAAAATGTGAAGCAGACATTTTTCCTTAAAGTCAGTTTTACCAGATTACCTCGCTGTTAGGAGACCCTTCTCTTGCACTTTGCTCTTGGCTTGAGTAGGAGCATATAAAGCTGTCCTGCACTGTGCAGCGGACATTTCACAGAAGCTCCCAGACAATTAGGTGGTTTACTCCCACGCAACTGCAGCAGAAGCTGTAAAGACTTCTCAGACAGTAGTAGCAGCAGCTCTCCTGTTCTTACCAGCTGTTCATTGTATCTCTATGCTGCAGCTGAGCCTCTTTGGCAACAAAGTCCAGCATTTGGCCAAGCATTTCAAAGCAGTGCCTTTTCCCACTAAGTTAAGTGTTCTCATTTAGCCTGTGTGCCATGTAAAGCAATGATGGTATTTTACGTGTGATGTATACCTCAGTTCGTGGAGAAAAATAAAAAGCTTTGTAGCATTTTATGTGACGTGTCCATGCTTCTTACTTCTTTCTAACCGTGTATTTTGCTGTTTCTTAGCTCCCTAGCATTGGACTCCAGCGTAGAAGAAACTTAGACAAGACCTACATGCCCTGACAAGGTTTTTTTCATCCTCTGTTCCAGAGGTGCTGCATTAGCAAGTGTAGCCAGCATTACCCTTCTTGGCACCGGGAGATTGCATCTGGTAACTCTTAGTGCCTTGCCACTGCAAGAGGGATGTAGACAAACAGGAGAGAGTCCAGAGGAACGCTGCTAAAACCATTGGCAGCTGGAGTACATGGCATATGAGGAGAGGTGAGAGCTAGGCTTTTTCAGCCTGGAGAGGATGAAAGAGGAATGTAACTGTAGTCTTTCACTACCTAAGAGAGGTCACAGGGAAGGCAGCACCGGACCTTCCTCAGAGGTGCACAGCAAAACCACAGGAAGCTACAGACACAAACTGCCACAAGAAAACTTCTGCTGGGGTGTAAGGTACAGCCTCTCACCCCCAGGAGCTGTGCAGCCCTGGGACAGGGTGCAGAGAGGAGTGGGGAGTCTTTGGACTGTGCCGCTTCAGCCTCACTAAAAGAGTCAAAGGCAGCAGAGGACAAGCTCAAATGAAAGCAGATTGTAGAGAAATGACATCCACCTTTCTGGCTCAAACGGAAAACGAGGATCAGAGATGAGAGCAGGGTGACAGCTCCCACAGTCAAGGGTTTCCAACAGCATTCCCTCTCCCGTGAATCCCTGTCATCACGACGAAAAGCTGGTAAGGCGACAGCAGTGGATGAAAGGGTGGCATTTCCTTCTTGTTTCTTAAGTTCACAAGACCTTGAGACATGACTCTCCTTTATCTTTGCGGTGACAATACATGTATTTACAAACATACGTGAGTACACAAATACATACGCAGTGATGCATGTGCGCACGAGCACAGCGCCTTTCATACGGCAATCTGCGCCAGAAGGTCTACTGCCCTGTAATGGCGTGTTTGCCGGTGTTCTACCACCGTCTGCTGCTTTCTGCGTTGTAGAGCAAGGAGTTGAACAGCGCAGACCTTGTTATCCCGTTGCACGGGACAGCTTAGGAGATTTGCAGCCTCGGCAGCAATGCTGTTCCGTTCCGTTGTTAGAGTAGATGGACTTGCAGGATCGGTTCTTTGTGTCTCAGCGTACCATGGAAGAAGACACGTTCATCAACGTGAGAGTAAGAAGAGCAAAAGTTCTGTGCCATGCACGAATGTCCACAGTGTTGCGATGGTTTTCTCTCCACCTTCGAGGGCAAGGCCTTCCCTGTGGCTGAGGTGGCCCCAGCACATGGAGCTGCTGGGATCAGCTCTGCTCGGAGCTCCAGCAGCACAGCCAGCCATTGCCCCAGAGACGAGGGCGCCTCCTCCATGCCCTGCGGAGCCGGTCTTGCAGTGCCCGTAGCCCAAATCCAGAGGCAGGCCTTGTCTCTACAGGTCTTAGCTGCGACAGGGTTTGAGCTGCCAGGTTTGAGACGACAGGGCTGTCGTCATTTCTCATGTCTTGAAGGGCTGGCACAGAGAGGAATAGAGCCAAGGTCAGAGCCCGCATCTGCGGGGACCCCAGGATCCCCTCCTGCCAGGGCCACCCCACCCCAGCTCTTCCAATGGCCAGGAGGGAGCAGAGGCCAACAGGATCAGCTGGAAGGTGCTGGCCACGAATACTCCACGTGTCCCTGAAATCTATCTCCGTTCTGCCCATGCCACCCCTCGTCCAGGCAGGGAGCAGAGCCCTCCCCAGCCAGGGCAGGGATCGCATCTCCCTGCCCAGGCTCTTTCCTCCTCCCCAACAGCCCCACTGCCACCCCGCTGCCCTCACTCACCCTTGTAGAATGACCTGGAGCTTCTCCTCCTGCTGACCCCTTGCATACCAACCAGCGAGCCCCAGGAGCACAGAGCCCATCGCCGGCCCCAGCGGCACAGCTCC